AGCTTATATATATGAATTGAGACAAATCCTGGTAGGAACCAGATCTCTGTGCTGGAGTCAGGGGTGGGAAATAATACCAGGTGGTAAAATTCTATAGGGGATAGCTTCAGTAATTCCTTCTAGAGAAAAATTAGATAGCCCTTCTTCCTTCCTACTGTATTTTGCAATCTGATTTTTAGAAATTACCCAAACAGGACACTAGATGTTTGTTCACTTAACAGGGAAGTCAGAGTAAATTCTCCTTTATCCATCTATCTTTCTATCTGTCTGTCTGCCTACCTCCCTACTCCACCTGCTTTTCTGATTGTTAAACAAGTGGATATTACATCAAAGTGAACTATGTGGTGGCTGTATTGAAGCTTTTTAGACATAAGAGCATAAGGAAGGACATATGTCATTTGATAGCTCATAAAGGTTGAGCTTTTTCTGTTAGTAATATTTACAAAGAGAAATTAAAGAGTATAAGTTTACACTTAGTTTACACAGAAGAGTACGTATGTCTGTATGACCACTTATGCTTCTGAAATGGGTAAACGTGTCTTTTCTTTAATGTAAAATCCTCATACAATGAAAGTTATTCTCTTAGATCTTTCTTGATAGACAGTCTATGAGATGGTATCCTGTTCCATTGGAATTGAAACTGATACGGACATTGATTTTCTACTTTGCCCTCAACACAATACCAGAAATGGGGTAGGGGGGAAGTGTTTTCCTAAGCCCGAGATTCATTGAAGCTAGTAGAAGAGTTAATACCGAGAGAGAAATTTTAAAACTCAGGTTTGGCTTTTTATTTGAAAATCATCTTCCGTTTTGTGTATGTAGTGACTTAGCTACAAGGTGCACTTTTGACAAGATAGAAGATTTATTAAAGATAGGTTCTTTGTGTGGTGTCAGGAAGGTAGACTCTAATAGCATTGTCATTGAACCAAAAGTTAAAAAATGACTACTGTTACTTTTAACATTTATTTTAACTGGAGTTGAGGGAGGAAAACTTGGGGGTTGTAAACTTTAGAAGGATTTCAATTCAGTGTCTCAGAATACCACTGTTGAGTCTTCCCATTGGAAAAAAGAACAGTAGAGTCCTGGGTGTAAAGGACTATGTACCCTTAAGCTCTACTCTTGAAGAAACAAGTAACCCTCCCTCTTGGGGTGGGGCTTATGTTCTGGGCACCTAGTCATGTCACTAGTCCTTTTTAATGTCCTAATACGGATCAATTTTCTATGACAACTCTTCATATGTCACTAAATTCTACTGCTTAGATCTCTTGAAATGTGGTTTCATTGTCTCCCTTGCAGATTATTAAGGCTAAAGATACTTCTAAAATAAACAAATGAGCAGCCTTGATGTTATCCTTAGATGTGGCCAGATAGCATCTGAGGCTCTATATATCTCTGTAGAGCCATCTACGGATAAAAACTGAGTTGTTAGAATTGGAACCAGACACTGACGTTGCCTTATTCCTTGTTCCACTGGGTCAGTTGGTAGAATCTGAATTTGGGTTCAGAGGGGGCAATTTTTCAACAGCCCCCTTTCCCAAATGTAAATTCCATCATCATTTCGATCATTATAGGGTGTACCCCTGGGAAAGGGAGCTTAAAAAAGAGAGAGAGAGAGAGAGAGTCAGAATTTTGAGTAGTTTCTTTGCTATATTCACCATCTGGAGAGCCTTGATTGATTAGCTTTGGCCTCACCATTAAGTGTCAATATAATCAATGGGAATTACTAGACTAGGGTCATTACATAGATAATTTGCCTGCTGTGTAAATAAAAATGAAATTGTTTAAATTTTGTGAGAGAAAGAAAGTGAAAATAAGGGCTGACAATTTGTTTGTTAGAGAAAGTGGAGGCCATTGGAATGACAGTTTTTGGAAGTGTGGAGCAGTTTGGCTAAGAATAGGAATGAAGGATATTTTTTTTCCAGTTTATCATAGCCAGAGTGAGGAAGTGCTGTTCCCTCTCTTGCTTGCATACATTTGCCCGTAGTGCCTACTTTACGTATGTAAACATCGGGGAAGAGAAGTGGATGTCTGTTACCTGGAGATTTTTTTTTTTTTTAAAGGAAAAACGTAATTTACACTTTTTTGTTGTTTCTCTTGGCAGGTAAAACAGAAAGGGGCTCCTACTCATCTTATGGGAGAGAATCAAACTTACAGGGTTGCCACCAGGTAAGTGAGACTCTTGCTTGGGGAAGGGTTGAGAGAATTAACCTGGTAAATGACGGTTTGTTTTGTAAATTAGGTGATGCATCTTAGACTGTGGAACTAAGATGCACCGAAAGTCTGCCGATGCCTCCCTCTTCTAAAAAGTAACGAAATAACACAGACCTTGGAAGTAATAAACACCTCGTCTCTAGATCCCTGCTGTATCAGAACTACATTCACTGGCTTGTTTTTATTTTTTAATCCATCAGCCGGTACCAGTGGCACTGTTTGCAAACCAGCAACGCCGGTTAAAGTGGTTCTATCAAAAGAGTTTATTTGCAATTAAGAACTTGAGAATTTCTCACACTAGAAATACTTCATGCAGCCATGTGTCAGACCCTGGGTTCGGGTGGTTATTGCCCTAAATTATAGTTTTCATAGGGGCTGTATGATGTTGTGTGAAAACAGGGTTGTATTGAGGGATAAAAATGTCTGTGAAAATATGATTTGTTGTCCCTTTTTGTTTCTGAATTGTTTTTGGCTGGAAGTCAAGGCCAGCAGGCTAACAGCAAAGCCGTCTCAAGGGAAGCATGCGTGAGCTAGAAAAATAAGAATACTTTAATTAAATAATAAAATGCCAGTGTAATACAAAGGTATAGCATGTGTGTGTTTGCGTCTGTGTGCACTCTGCATTTGCATACTTTTCACTGCCCAGAGAAAGCCCAGTTCTGAAAATAATATCCAGAGCCCAAAGTATAAGCTTTGAGACAGTTGAGTTTTTATAGATGTGTTCTTTTTCATTTCAATATTGGAATTAATCGCATCTTTAAAATCTTTTGTTTGGGATTTCTTTTTCTTTTTTGCATTGGTTTCTTACTTTGGAAAACTCTTGATAAAATTGAATAATCCTATCAAATATTCAAAGCTTTCTACTGTTTTATTCCTCATTTAAGCAGAATGTACCTTCTTGTGCTAGAAAGGGAATGCTTGCTCTCTGGAACCCTCTCACCCTCCCATTTTCTTTAGTGAAATGGGTAAAAAAAAATCAATTTTGAATTTTTGAAACAACCTGTTTAATATATCCTGGAAAATGTAAGCAAATAGTTTTAGGAATGAAATAGAGCCCGTGAAGGATTTACCTTTATGGATCAGTCATATGTCACTAAAGGTGGAATGGAATTCTGGTGGAGGTTTACTCCCGCCCCCCCCCCCCCGATATATTTGCATTTTTAAAGTTGCCTCCTCTGGCCCAGCTACCAATTCAATCCTATTCGGCATCTAAAAGATTGGTTGCGATGAGGGGAACCGTGCTTGGTTAAGAAGTCCTGCTGCACAAGCTGCAGAGTACAGTTCATGGCAGTTTGTTTGGAAAGAATTCTGCAGGAAAGAAATTTACAGCCATTCCAGCGCAACGGAAACATCTTTGGAATGTGAGTGCAAATGTTCGGGGCAGATAGCTCGGGCGACAAGCCTCTTAGTGCCGAGTCTCTAGTGTAAAGCTCCCAATTCCTGCAGAAGAGCCGGTTCCTGTGTATCTGGTTTCTGAGGGTCAAGGCAGAGGTCATTAGAGTTTTGGGGAGAAGAAAGTTGACAACATCCTTCCTTTTTGCAGATGGTCATGGCAGAGGTCTCTGTTTTCGCTGGGCCTCTTTTTCTGGTCAATGAGAGAATAGGCTTCCTCGCCCCTGTATCCTTTCTTACTAATAGGAATTGGCGTGATTCCTCACAGACACAAAGATTTCCTCTGCTGAGTAAGCGCGAGGCCCCTTAACTTGTTAAAGCATCATCCAGACCGCGTGAGTCTGTCTGTGTATGTGCAGGGACACAGACCCTCCCTCGGTTTGTGGGAAATACTTCCCTCGGGTGAAACTGAAGTGATTTTTTTGGCAGACACAAGGTGAGGAGTGGAAGGGGGCAGAGGGTGGAGTAGAGGTGGACGGACTGGTGTGTGATGGCTGAATTTCCGGGCCTTGGGAGGCTCATTTTGAGACATTCATGTCCAGGAAAATTCTGTTGTATATAGGAGTATGAGTGCATATGCTTTTCTTAAAAAGTCTTCATAATGTAGCTGTGGAGTGTGGCGATTCTGTCATTCTTATTTCTGCTTCGTGGTCGTGAGTCTTGCAAAAACCGACTATCTCTGTGCTTAGCATGGTCTCAGCAGTATCCATAAATAGTGTGATCACTTAAGGATAAATAAAAGAGCAAAATTTTGGAAATTCCCTGATTGAGAAAATTGAGGCTGGAGAGGAAAAGTGCACATACTATGAATTTCTTCTGCTTTCCGTGAAATTTGAGAATAGAGCAGACCATAGTGTGTCTCTTCCAGTGAATGTTTCTCTTATGCCGAATTGCTTTTTGAATCCCAGTCTCCAACACCAGCTATGCAAACCAAAAAGAAAGGCAAAGTCTCGGGTACTTGGGCTTCAAGTCTAAGTAGCAGATCACAGCTGAAATGATTCCCTACTGTGTGGTAAGGTGAGTGGCTTCCTGGAGAGAAAGCTTTTGTTTTCTCCTGTTTACTACATTATAGAGATGCTGGGTGGAAATCCTATAGATGGTATGCCCTGAGGAGCTCCAAAAGCAGCTTTATCATATTATAACAATGTATCCTGTGGACTTAGAGGATTGAGCACTGTTACATGGGAACATGCTTATTCCAGTCCCAAATAGCCTTTTGTCTGGTGTAGAGAAATAGCAGTGGTAAGCAACAGGTAGCAAAATGCTGTCCTGGAGAAATAAATTATTATTTTGAAGTGTATGGTATTTCGAAAATGCATCAGGTTAAAAAAATATTACACGTATCTGTGATGTCCCTCTTGAGGATTTAACATGAATAGTGAAAAACATGTGGCTTTTTGAAAAGTAGATATTTTAGCCAAAAAAACAAAAGCTGGCAGGTTCTTTTTAAGTTGTTTTCATTAAAAATAGTAATATGAATTCATTAATGCATTTCCACGTAAAATTATCAGAAATAAACATGGTAACTTTTTCAGACTTTTGAAACTGTGTAGATAATGAACCAATAGGCAAAAGCAAAGCGGCCAAATGGACTTTTTTTTAGTCCTCACTAAATATGGCAAAACTAATTTAAATCAAATTGGGGTACGGAAATCACACCCAGGCTTAAAATGTTCTTGCCAAATTGCAACCTCATACTACTTTTACTGAGAGAAAATAAAATTTTTAATGGAAAGTCTGACAGAAATGAAAATGAGCGGAAATGAAGTTTTTCGCAAGATAGTCCAACCTCTATCCGGTAACCAATAACTAATACCTAATGGGCATCATTGAAGATCACAAAAGGAAAAAAAAAAAAAAACAATGTCATTTGCTTTTGGCCTCTTTTGCTGCTTTGAATAGGATGTTTGGTGAATGCAAACTTTCTAATCTTGCCGAGATCTTCTGTTTTTGAATGGAATGATGATGTCAACACAAGTGATTGTTATTAAGGCAGAAGTTTTCTCCTTAAATGAAAGTTCAGGATGGATTATCAGGAATTGTTTGTCTTTTCTTTTTTGGGATATAGACCAGGTCTACGGCAATCGTTTCATTATTAGTATCTCCTGGGCAAGTTTTGTGGGGTGTGTGTGTGTGTGTGTGTGTGTGTGTGTGTGTACTATATGGAAAGCTGGGCCCTATCTGAGACCAATTAAATTAGAATCTTATGAGTTGGGCCTTTGCTTTTCTGACAGTTCCCAGGTGATGTACTGTGTAGCTAGGTTTGATGATTTCCTAGAATGTTCTATAGGAATGTACTGTATTTTAAAGATGTGTTCAAAAACTGGTATTGCCAGTGACCTTGAAAGAGCTTTTAGACTTTTTGCCTTAATTTGATTATTCAAGACATGGATATATACTGCATAAAAACTTCATTTAAAAGGCATTGAGAATTAGTGATTTACTGAAAATCAGGAGGACGCCTTGATGTCTTTATACAAAATTCTGCAACTGTGAATGTCCCAGCCCATATCTTGTTTTCTCTAGTGAAGTCCAAGGCTCTAACCTCAACTGCATTCTTTTTCTTTCTCAGCAAGTAATCAAATAGGACTATGCTGATAAAGTTATTTGATGTGGAGATCTTAAAACCAACAGGATTTAAGAATTAGGCATAATCTCAGATACTTTTGTTAAATTCCAGAAACTTTGAAACTATAGAAAATGGATCTTCTCTATATGAAATTTCACTTGCTCATAAACTTCGTTTTTGCTTCATTGAAATTAAACATTATAGTTGGCTCTGAAACGAATTACACATTTATGAACTGATTGTTTTTCTTTTGATTATTTTTATTTTTGATACAGACAGAATTACAAGTGACTTAATTCGAAAACTTTTGGCCCCTTTAAGTTTTCCTTATCTAAAGTCAAAATAGGAAGCATGGAAGCAAAAAAGGCATGAAATCCTTTGTTCTTAAAAAAAATGGCTACTTGGATCTTGTGGAAGCAGAAATGCATCTTGTTTTTTACTTTGACATTACACTTAAATGTTTGTTCATAGCAGACAGTAAATCAGTCTGGGTCCAATGCATTCTTCCGAGGACCCTCTACCGCCCACGTACTGTGCCTGTGTATTGCCTTATGCTTCCCTTCCATAGCGCCTCTTGGATTGTTGAATGCTGATTTCCGGCAAGCTTCTGTAAACTCCTACAAGGCAGGGGCCACGTTGGCTCTATCTTGCACTATGTGTACTCTGTGCCTAGCAGAGTGAGAATTGTGATAACCTAAGGTTTATGGCCCCAGCATCACATTTTGAGACCGGGAAGTCGGAATAGCAATGTATGGGAACCATTAGTTAGCATTGTTTTCATGCCTACAAAAATGAGAAAATCCATACTGTCTCAAAGAAAGTCCTTTGGAAGTCTGCCCTTCTAATGTGCTGTGCAGACCCCGGAATGACACACAGGTCATAGCGTGGAAAGTCGCTCATCACTTACAGGGTGCCGGGTACTGGCCCCGTGCTGGTCTCACTGTTCTAGGCTGAACGTTCTCAAAGGAGATGATGAGAGAATTCTATGTTCTGG